ATTTCCAGGAATTAGGTGATAAAGTCCTGGAAACAGATGAGGAAGCTCCTAAGTTAGAAGATCTTGTAAAGCCTTCATAGACTGTCTCTGCGTGTAATAGTTGTACAATGATGTACCAGAAGCAACATAATCCAGATGAGGTGTTTTTTTGTGTGATGATACTAGGATGTGTTGTTTTAGTGTTTTTGGTGAGTATGAAGGCGTATTCATTAATCATAGAGAGTGAATGTAGGAGTGTATACATCTACTAGCAATATGCAAAGAGGAGGAAAGGAAACGAGCAATATGCAAATGTGGCGCCCATCTACAAGAAGGGCCGGAGGGCAGACCCGGGAAACTACAGGCCTGTCAGTTTGACCTCAGTACCAGGGAAGCTCATGGAGCAGATCCTCTTGAGAGTCATCATGCGGCACTTGCAGGACAAGCAGGCGATCAGGCCCAGTCAGCATGGGTTTATGGAAGGCAGATCCTGCTTGACGAACCTGATCTCCTTCTATGACAAAGTGACACGCTGGGTGGATGAGGGAAAGGCTGTGGATGTGGTCTACCTTGACTTCAGCAAGGCTTTTGACACCGTCTCCCACAGCATTCTCCTCAAGAAACTGGCTGCTCGTGGCTTGGACTGGCGCACGCTTCATTGGGTTGGAAACTGGCTGGATGGCCGGGCCCAAAGAGTCGTGGTGAAAGGAGTCAAGTCCAGTTGGAGGCCAGTCACTAGTGGCGTCCCCCAGGGCTCAGTACTGGGGCCGGTCCTCTTTAATATTTTCATCAATGATCTGGATGAGGGCATTGAGTGCACCCTCAGTAAGTTTGCAGATGACACCAAGCTAGGTGCGTGTGTCAATCTGCTCGAGGGTAGGAAGGCTCTGCAGGAGGATCTGGATAGGCTGCACCGATGGGCTGAGGTCAACTGCATGAAGTTCAACAAGGCCAAGTGCCGGGTCCTGCACCTGGGGTGCAATAACCCCAAGCAGAGCTACAGGCTGGGAGAGGAATGGTTGGAGAGCTGCCAGGCAGAGAAGGACCTGGGAGTGATGGTGGACAGTCGGCTGAATATGAGCCAGCAGTGTGCTCAGGTGGCCAAGAAGGCCAACGGCATCCTGGCTTGTATCAGAAACAGTGTGGCCAGCAGGGCTAGGGAGGTGATCGTCCCCCTGTACTCGGCTCTGGTGACGCCGTACCTCGAGTGCTGCATTCAGTTTTGGGCCCCTCGCTACAAGAAGGACATCGAGGTGCTTGAGTGGGTCCAGAGAAGGGCGACGAAGCTGGTGAGGGGCCTGGAGAACAAGTCCTACGAGGAGCGGCTGAAGGAGCTGGGCTTGTTCAGCCTGGAGAAGAGGAGGCTCAGGGGTGACCTTATTGCTCTCTATAGGTACCTTAAAGGAGGCTGTAGCGAGGTGGGGGTTGGCCTGTTCTCCCACGTGCCTGGTGACAGGACGAGGGGGAATGGGCTTAAGTTGCGCCAGGGGAGTTTTAGGCTGGATGTTAGGAAGAACTTCTTTACTGAAAGGGTTGTGAGGCACTGGAACAGGCTGCCCAGGGAAGTGGTGGAGTCACCATCCCTGGAGGTCTTTAAAAGACGTTTAGACGTAGAGCTCAGGGGTATGGTTTAGTGGGGACTGTTAGTGTTAGGTCAGAGGTTGGACTCGATGATCTTGAGGTCTCTTCCGACCTAGAAATTCTGTGATTCTGTGAAATTTTTAAGTTTGTCTGCGGATAGACAGATTGATGCTGGTACCCAAGTTGTTGTGAAAGCTCGCAGTCACATTTCTATGGTTGTATACGAAGGCAGCTGATCTGTCTGGAGAGACACCTGATGACTTGAGCTGTGAAGCAACTGGGCAAAAACATGAGAGTTTTCCTAGCAGGACTTGCTGCAGGACCTTCATTCCTCCTGATGTGCCAGGCTTGCACGAACCCCACCACAGCACGTGAGCAGTAGCGAATAAAGCCGTACTTTAAAGGAGGGTTCCTGAACTGAGAGGGGCACAAGAGGCAGCGGCTAATCACTCCTAGCATTTTCTGCACTTGGAGGGTCAGGAGTTGATCCTGGTAATAGATGGTGAGCTGCGATTAATGGGTACTGCAAAATGTGGAGGGCTGCAGCACAATCCCCCCTTGCTGGAATAGCAAGGAACCAAGGAATTTTTCAGCAACCAAAGATATCCTGTGCTGGTTTTTGTGGCATAGCGGGATTTGTTGCCAAAATGCCAGTTTTGCCACTTGGGCATGTAGGAAGGCCCGTCCATGTGGAGTCCTGTGAGCACTGGTAGGTACACGCTATACACCGTGCCTATCGATGACATATGGCCTGCAACCTTCCCTTCGTCTGTAACCACATAAACCCAGTGAGGTCCTTCAGAGGCACTGCTTGCCTGCACCTTACGGCAAATGCTTCTTTGCCTTTTTGTGCCCTTGTCCTTTTCAGTATTCTGGAGGAGCGCTCACTGCAGTAACATGGGCCAGTGTCACTCTTATTACTTTACCTGTTTTATCTTTTGTGAAATTGAGCCTTTAGCCGGAATTGTCTGAGCTGCTGCTCCAGCAGTCGGTTAACTGTGAGGCTCCTCGAGCTCATTTCTCTCAAGTAATTTGATTCCCACGTGCTCACTGAGATTGCTTTTTTGCTGAAAGAAAGTGGGGAGGGGTGTGTGTGTGTGTATGGGAGCAGGCCAGAAATGTTATGGCAGACAAATGTAGCTTAGAGATAAAAACAACACAAAAACGTGTTTAAAAAGATCCCATCTCAGTTTATCTCCCTTTAACCCAGTGCTATAAAACCGAATGTTTTTGTGTTTGAGAATCGGAGACACAGAGCCTTTTGTGCTGGTGCAGGGTATGGAACAGGAAGCTAAATTCCATCCTGCCTCTACAAAAAGCCGAGAAGGTAATCCTTTCATTAAATTTACCAGAAATGCGTGTAAAACACTAAAAACATTTTTTTTTTTTTTTGTAATTGTGGTCATAAAAGCTTTCTATGGATTTTAAGGTGTTTTCTGAAATCATAAACAAGGTTCAAGTTTTTTTTTTAATTATTATTATTATTTTTGTTGCTGAACAATTTCTTTTACATTGTGGTTACTTAGGAGTAATTGAACACCAGTTTTGTAGATAAGCTTCTATATAAGACTGGTTAGTAAGGCAGCAGTTTCCTAAATAATGAACGATTTATTGAGAGATTTATGATTCTATAAAATTGCTAGTGTGTTATCACAGTTTTGGGCAAAGGCCCTACTGCAGGGGAGTGAAAAACAAGCCTGAAAAGTGAATCTTACTGGAGGGAGGATTGTTCTGGAAATAAACCATTCAGTGCATAAACAATGGTATATCAGTTGTCTGAAATATGCATTCCTCCCTCTGCATGGTGTTCATTGTATGTCCACCCAGACCTACCAAGCTCTGGACACAGCATTTCTGTGTTACAAAGTTGTGGTTTGTTAGAGAAAATATTGCTAATTTGAGCAGACTGCTCAGAGGTCTGTTCCTACATATGACCAACATCAGGCTTGGGGTTCTGTTAGCATTCATTAGCTGCTGTTGTAAGACACGTCCCTTGATGGCATCAGCAGCATTATTAAATGTCATAAGAATACATCTTCCTAGCAGCAGCGGAAGTATCCATAGTTGATGGATCTTGGCTAATTTTCCATCTTGGACCTGGGGGTGGGAGCAAATAAATACATCTATACTTGTTTGAGAGGTGTGAGGAAAGGAAGCTCATACTAAATGTCAGTGTTACCCAACCACTGACTACTTCACCTACTACTGTTGCTACAGATTGTTGTCATTTCTGACTTTAAAAGAGTGTACGTACCAATACAAAAAATCGTTACAAAACTGAGTTCAGTTCTGGGCAGTAATGTTTTGGGGACAAAGAGGGGTAGAGGGATTTTTTATTTATTTATTTTTTTTTTCATCTAGCACTGAACTGAAAAGAGTTAAACAAGATAGATTTTGGAGGATAACGTGCCAGGTCAAAAAGCTGGGTGCATCTACTGATAATTGCACTGTCTGCATTTTCTGTTTATGTGCTACACTGTTGTGTAATGTAAAAAAAAAAAAAAAAAAAAAAAAAAAAAAAGTGTATGTATGCAGCTGTATGCCAGATTTCATGACTGTTTCTGTCTAGAGCCTTTGCTTGCTTGTACATTGTGCCTGCAGCTCCACCTCTTCAAAGGCTGTTCTATTAATCTAACCTACTGAGGGCTATTCATACAGCTTATGGGTTTTTATATTTAAATCCTCACAAAAAATGATTTGCTGCCCTCAAGTTAGAAATTTAAAGGAAAATTAAATTAAGGCTGCCTAAGTAATGAAAGCATCTTTAGATTTGATAGATAGAGACCATCAAAGCAAAAAGACTGTATCCCTAGAAAGATTTCTGATATTGTTTAGTGCTGGGGGGAGTTGCTATTGCTAGTATATCATGCAGTATCAGGCCTTAAATTCATATGCTTATGCTTCATGAATTCTTTAATTTCCAAAGTTGTTTGTTATGTTTTAGGTCATAAATTAAGAGATTTATAACTCAAACATTTTTATCCATATGAGGCCTATGGCATTAGGATCATAGTGTTGTATAGTTTTGCTGACAGATGGATTAAAGAAAGAAAGATCTTACGCCTTAAGAAATGTCTGAATTTTTCTTGTGTGCCATGAGATGTAAGCCTAGCATTTGTTACTGTGATATATGTTATATCATTGCCTGCCTAGCGCGACATGTGTATAACTCTATTGTTTCTAGTGGTCTTGTGCTGTGAACTTCTAACCAGACTTAAAACAAAACAAGCAAGCAAACAAAAACAAACCTGGGAGTGTTTTAGGGGACACCTAAATAGTGTCCCCTAAAACTTCTAACCAAATCTTTAGAATAGAGCGGTCACCAAATGCAGTCTCAAACCTAGTCCAAAGAAGGTGGGTGGCAGAATCCAGATTTTTATTTTATTATTGGGGTATAAAATGTGTGCCTTCTATTTATTTCTCATTTCTTTTGTCTTTAGGTTTTCCAAATGAGCCTGCTGCTGTCATTGCCCTTAACACTATTAAGGAATGGTTAAGCAAGAATCACAACGAGGTATGAAATAAAATATAACTTTCACAAATTTTTATTTATGCTTATGGACTTTGGCTCTGGAAATGTAGAAAGAGTAAACACCAGCTTGAGCCTTGAAGTGAATATTTAGTCTAAAACAAATGAAACCAGGTTAGGACAATGTGACTGGGGGAAGACTGTTACATTTTAAAAGCTTCACTGGAGTTCAGGGGAAATACCTTTGTTTGAAACCATACTGTGCATTTCCTTTGTATTGTAATCTTTCCTGGCAAAGTAAAAGACTATTCTCTTTCTAAGCCGTTTCTGAGCGTCACAGTTTTCATCTAATAATGAGGAGATTCTTGGAAAGGAAATGTATATAATAGTTGTCAGTGGAAACAGTCACCAAAGGTCAGCGGTGTTCCAGAGGTCACTTTACAGTAAAGAGCTGTATGATAGTATTTCCTATTTTTATTAATTTTTGATTTGCTTACAGTTAAGTGTTCATTTTCCCTGGAACACCTGCTAAACTTGTGACACAACTGAATTTTTAACAGGACTGGTGTTCTTCCAGTGACAACACTATGGTGATTATTTTTACAAGACAAAATGCTTTCAACAGAATGATATCCATATCTTCCCTTTCTAGGTTTTTTTCTTGCTCTGGTTTTTGTTCTTAGCAGGCTGATAGTTTCTAGCATTGAATTGAAGAATGCAACAAAGTGATAGAATAAAATAATCATTATGTCTTGAACTGAGGATATGCCTGTTTCCTGGTAATGACAGTCAGCAGGCAGATCTCACACGGCTGAAGTTGTTGAGTATTTTTGTATGAAGGTATTTAACAAAGCTTGGAGTGGAGAAATATTAGGCACAGGAGCATAATTAGTAGTATATTTCTTTTATTCATATGTTTGGGGGGCCTTATTGTTAAGAGATTCTGATAAACAAGGGTAGCGATTTAGTAGGTTGTAGGAGTTTTTTGTTTGCTTTTTGACCAACTTTGAACTGAAAGGAAATACTATGATGAGATTTGAACAGTAAATTGAGATATACAAACCTGAGTGCCAAAAGGTACGCCAAGAAACGTGCATGTTTGGACAATGCAGTATGAAGCACTTAGCAGCTTTCTTTCCATAGATTAGATATTTGAGCAGTGAAGCAATTTTGGATGGACACTCATCTTTAACACTAAAGATGCGTAAGTGTCATCTTACCAGCCTAACTACAGTCTTTATGTTTTTTGAAAATGGAGTGTTAGTGCTTAACTATATTTTAATTTCATTTGGTTGTATTTTTGCTATATAATGGAAGAAAAATAGGCTATTTATTTATTTATTTATTTATTTATTTTAATTTTGGAACTAAACTTTTCTATTTCAAAAGCTGAGTGTGTTGTATATATACCCCTTAATTACTTGTTTCTTTGTGGCATTACTAAAAACAAAATAAAATGGTTTGGTAGACTGCCTATCAAATGTGTAGTTGTTTTCTCAGTGAAAACTCTTTTCTGGAGTATTCTGCTCTGGAGTTCAGCTGTTGCTTCTCAGCTGTAAGACAACTTTTGCTTCTAATGTACACTTTGAGTCTTCCCTTTTTCTGCTTCTGGCATGACTTGGCCTGCAAGCCCTTGTATGCCCTACACATTCCTTCTTTCTTACTTTTAGTTAGCATGTGCGCTGCTTCCCCCTATTTTTTTGGTTCCTGTCATAGGCTTCTGGTGAGTTCCTTCCCTTGTTTTCAGAAACCTTCAGCTTTGTCTTGGAAGGAGACTTGCGGTTCACAGCACAGTGATTGAAATGGCAGTGTTTATCGTATATGTTCTTGTCTTTTATCTGAGCATTAAGCACTTTGTGCAAATGTTATTGAAATGCATAAAATTCCAACACATTTGTGGTTTGCACAGGTTACTGTAAACTAGGAACACCGAATAAGCGTGATTCCTCCTTCCTCACTCAAATGCCTTCCCTTCTATTTCCTTGGTTGTCTTGGCACTCTAGCTCTAAACCTACTTACTCACTCCCCACAAATTCCAATTTCATCTGTGTTCTTTTTAAGTTAATAGTTGTAGTTTACAAAGTTTGGAGAGTGAAAGGAGCACAGGCTGTCCTGACCACAGATGTATTGTTAAAAATTATCCTATTAAGCTTACATCACAGTTGTTTTTTTTGTCTTATTTTTGTTGGTTTTGTTTTTCAGTTTGGATTACTATAGTTAATAACTGTAGTATTAAACATTTCTGAACACCCTGAGTCAAAATGTCATGATGCTCAGGTCTCATGCTATTTGGCGTGCCTGAAGGCATGCATATGATCAATTTGCAGCAATTATTACCTATCAGAGAATTCAGAAGCAAACTCAAAGAGCTTTTGTTAATTATTGAAGAAAATGGCATACTAGATTTCAGTCAAGATAGGTTTCGAGGGTAGGGCTATCCATAGCTTTGTACTTTCTTGTACAGTGGTTTCTCTCTTCATAAACTATTCCTGCAATCTACTGTCTTGAATTTTAGATTGTGGCATACTGGCATATTTTACATGTCATAAGTAGGTCAGCAGCAAAATAAAAATATTTAGTACTTCTACTGAAGAAAGCAGTGACTTATGCAGTGAAAGGGATCTTTGAGAAGCATAGAGTTGTTGGGTTCCTGTTTAATGCTTATAGGAAGGTGTGTATAATTCAGCTATATTAAATAAACTGCCATAGCTCAGTGTCAGGTGTTATTCTGACCCATCGTATTTTGCATATCTTTGTTCCCTTGGATTAGATTTTGGGCTTTAAGTAGTAATATTGTACATCACCCAAACTTTTCCTGAAAGTAGTTCGTTGTACAGCAACCTAAATGACAGGGACTTTTTAATGTCTCAACAATATAGTCTATTCTTACTGCATACCTTGCAATATAGACCTTTCTGTAAACTTTGCTCATGAAGACAGAACAGCTCCAACTACAGCCACTGGATATTTAAATGTATTTAAACTCACATGTTCTAGCCTAGGAGCAAAACCTTTTCCATTTGCTGTGAGGCCAGCTTTTCAGAAGGCTGCCCGTGTTTCACTCCTGTTACGTCTATCAAGAACCACTCCCTTGATGCTGGCTGTGCTATCAAATGGGTCAGTGTCCTGCTAACAGCCTCCTCGCCTGAACAAGAGGCCTTTTGCTTTTGGCTGTGCTGAAGTTCAATGAATCAGTTGCCTTCTTCCTTTCCTTCCTTCTTGTGGAATCTGCCTTGTCTTCACCTGAGAAATCCTGTCTGGGTTCTGCTCCTTCTCTCACAAAGATGTTTGGCAGCCAGTTATCCCTGCGATAATGTCTGGTGCTGGTCATCCTCAGATCTCAGACTCTGCGTGTAGGGTGTGTATTGAATGAACTCATGAAATTTTAGTGAAAGATAGAGACCAAAATGGTAATCTGCTCACTAGGAAATGTGCCTACATGGCAACACACTTAGCAAAACCAAATAGGTAAATAAGATGGAAACACCTGACATAGTTATAAGTCTTTGTTGTGCTGTACGGCAGCTGTGTCTTATCTGTCTTTCTGCATCCCAGGAAACTGTGACAAATTTGTGAAAGATAAGGCAATATTGTTGTCTTCTCCTCTCTACCTTCATGTAGTGCTTTGCCTCCTTTGATGCTAAAATGAAGATTTTATCCAACCTGATATTAATTCAAAATACAAATAAATCAGTGGCTATGTTCCTAAGTCTGCCTGGGGCCCTGAAAATAACTGAAATGACTCCGAAATGTCTTGCAAGCTGTGTTAGAGTCCCAGGAAGTTCTCTGTCATAGTATTTACAAGAAAAGTGATTTGCAGTTAATGAAAGGTTTTCTTATCCAAGTCCATTGTTGTGCTTGACCCCTCAGGTGTTTGCATAAAAACTTATTAGCATGCTTAACTTCGATGTCACTCAGATGAATGTCTCATTACCATGCAAATGGAGTTAGCTCCTTTCTGAGGTTAATTGTTACAAAGCAACAGAGAGAGATCTATTGTAATTTACTGAACGCCAAACACCAGCTAGGCAGGGCAGCAGCCTAAAACTTAACTACATAAAGACCGCTAGGGAAAACAGCAATATTGTAAGTAATGGTTAGTACTTACTTGTATGTAACACGCAGCACTCTTCTGGTTTTGAAATGCAACTCTAAGTCAAACTAATTTCTGGCCGTGTTTTACACCAAGGTCTGCTGACTTGCAGCCAGAGGGCAAATCTAGTTTAGAAGCTGGTAAATGGCGTTACACTGTAAGCATAGAAATCCCTCGGAGCAAGCTTGCAGGAATGGCAACAGTCAGCACTACTGGGTTAATTTACTGCAGACCACCTAGGCTATCTCTTTAGCAAACTGCATTTTCACATTTCGCAAAGTGCTCTGAAGGTTTAATAGAATTCTTCAGAGCACAAAATAGAATTGGATCCCATCCTTTAGGAATTATACACTGGCATTCATTTAAAAATGCACATTAAGCTCTTTGAACAATTTGAAATGTTTCTTTCTGGGATAATTTGGGAAGGTCTGAGATGCTGCCACTTGACTTCCCATAACGTATCACAAAGGAAATGTGACACCTTTAAATACTTGTCCCTCCCGACATTTTAGGAGAGATGGTGGCGTTATGTTTGTTGGTGTTCGTTTTTGTTTTGCTTTTGTGGCAGAGCATTGGGAAATTTAGTAATTGTTATTTACTTGTACTTTAGGATCATGCTATGTGTCTTGAAAGGGTGAAAAATAAAAAATGTTCGTTGTGTGCCTTACCTTATGTCACTGACATGAAAAGCCTCAGGACCTTTTCCCTGCTCAAGAAAATGCTTTAATTTAACAGCACATTTAGCTCAAAGTATTGTTCTTTCTCTTGCACAATATCTCTCAACATTTATTACGTCCCTCAGTAGAACAACAACCACAGAAGTGTGATTGCAATATATGCTTCATTGAAATAACTGATGCAGATTAAAAGCACATAGAAGGAAAATAAATCAGCACATTCCTGATTCCTTTTCATTAGAATCACTTCTGAAAAGAGACTTTTTTACTTTGCC